GGTGCTTCCTAACTTAAATCATTTCAGTTCCACTCTTATTTTTTAATCAAACTTTTTATTTTGAGATAATGTAAATTACTTGAAGTTGTAAGAATTAATACAGAGAGATCCAGTGTACCCTTTATCCAGTTCCCCCCAAATGTAACATCTTGCAAAACTATGTGCAACATCACAACCGGGATATTATTATTGATGCAACCAAGACACAGAACATCTCGGTCACCACAAGGATCCTTCACGTTGCCCTTTTACAGTCACACCAACTTCCCTCCTCCTCGTCCTCAACACTAGTCTGTTGTAATCTCCAATTTTAAAATGCAATCTTCATTTCTACAATTTTATCATTTCAAGAATGTTATATAAACGGAATCATATTGTATGTAACCTTTCAAGATTGGCTTTTTTCACTCAAAATAATTCTCTAGAGATTCATCCAGGTTGTTTTTATGTGTTGTTTGTTCTTTTTTGTTGCTGGGTAGTATTTCATTGTGTTGATGTACCACAGTTTGTTTAACTATCCACCCACTGAAGGACATCTGGGCTTTTGGTTATTATGAATAAAGCTTCTGTAAACATCTGTGTACAGATTTTGTGGGAACATAAGTCTTCATTTCTCTGGGATAAATGCCCAGGAGTGCAATTGTTGGGTTATACGGTAGTTGCATGCTTAATTTTTTAAGAAACTGCCAAACTGTTTTCCAGAGCGGCAGTACCACTTTACATTCCCACCAGCAATGTATGAGTGATCTGATTTATCCACATCCTCACCAGGCTTTGGTGTTGTTACTATTTTTTATTTTAGCCATTTTAATAGGTGTTTAGTGATGTCTCGTTTGTTTTAATTTGCATTTCCCTGATGGCTAATGATGTTGAACATCTTTTCATGTGCTTATTTCTACCTGTATATCCTCTTCAGTGAAACATCTCTTCAGATCTTTTGCCTATTTTCTAATTGGATTATTTCATTTTTTTTTACTATTGAGTTTTGAAAGCTCTTTATATGTTCTAGATACTAGCCCTTCATCAGATATGTGGTTTGCAAATATTTCCCCCCATTAGTATCATGCCTTTTCATCCATTTAACAGGGTTTTTCCCAGAGCAAAAGTTCTTAATTTTTATGAAGTCCAATTTATCAACTTCCTCTTTTATGGATCATGCTTTTGGTATCAAGTCTAAGAACTTCACCTAACCCCACATCCCAGATATGGTCATCTATGTTTTTCCTAAAGGTTTTATGGTTTTACATTAAGTCTGTAGTTCATTTTGAGTTATTTTTTGTGTAAAGTGTAAGGCTTTGATTGAGGTTCCTTTTTCTTTTTTTGCCCTTGCATGTCCAATTTCTCCAGCACCCTTTGTTGAAAGGTTATCTTTCCTCTCTCAAATTGCTTTTGCACCTTGGTCAAAAATAAGTTATGTATATTTGTGTAAGTCTATTTCTGAGTTTCTGAGTTCTCTGTTCTGTTCCATGGGTCTATGTGTTTACCCTTCCACCAATACCACAGATCCTTAATTACTATAGCTATATAATAAATCTTGAAATCAGGTAGACAGATTCCTCCCAATTTTTTAAATTCTTTTTCAAAATTTTTTTAGCTATTCTAGTTTCTTTGCTTTCCCATACAAATTTTAGAATAATCTTGTTCCCTGAAACGTTGCTGAACTCATTTATTAGTTCTAGGAGCTTTTTTGTGTGTGTGTATGTATAAATAACTTGGGGTTTTCTATATAGACATTTATGATATGCAAATAGGGACTGTTTATGTTCTTTTCTTGCCTTATTGCATTTGCTAGAACTTAGAGCACTAAGTTGAATAAGAGGGATGAGAATAGACATCTTTACTTTGTTCCCAATCTTATAGGGAAAAGATTCAGGATGGTCTGTCAAATTAAGAAAGTTTCCCTTTATTCATATTTTTCTGGGAGGTTTTAATTTTTTTAATAAAAAATGAGTGGTGAATCTTGTCAAATGCTTTTTCTTTGCCAGCTGACGTGATCATGTGATTTTATTCTTTACTCTGTTAATATGATGGATTACCTTGCTTTTCAAATATTGTATCCCTGGAATAAACCCCACTTGCTCAGGTATATTCTTTTTATATACTGCTGAATTCTGTTGGCTCACATTTTGTTAAGGATTTTTGTGTCTACATTCATGAGGGATATTGGTCTGAACTTTTCTTTTGGTACTGTCTTTGTCTGAGTTTGGTATTAGAGTATCAGGGTAATATCAGCTTCTTTTTTTTTTTTTTTTTTGAGGAAGACTAGCCCTGAGCTCACATCTGTTACCAATCCTCTTCTTTTTTGTGAGGAAGATTGGCCCTGGGCTAACATCGGTGCCTATCTTCGTCTACTTTATATGGGATGCCGCCACAGCATGGTTTTGATAAGTGGCGCATAGATCCGTACCCAGGATCCGAATCTGCAAACACTGGGCCACCAAAGCGGAGTGTGTGAACTTAACTGCTATGCTACCAGGATGGCCCCAATATTAGCTTCTTAAAAATGAATTGGTGAGCCAGCTCTGATGGCCCAGTGGTTAAATTTCAGCACGCTCTGCTTCAGTGGCCCGCATTTGGTTCCCGGGCACGGAAGCACACCACTAGTCTGTCAGTAGCCATGCTGTGGCGGCAGCTCACATCGAAGAACTAGAAGAACCTACAACTAGAATAAACAACTATGAACTGGGGCTTTGGGGAGGGAAAAAAAAAGAGAGGAAGATTGGCAACAGATGTTAGCTCAGGCCAAATCTTTCCCAGCAAAAAAAAAAAAAAATAGAATTGGTAAGTTTTCCCTCCTCTTCTATTTTCCAGAAGATATTGTATAGATTTGGTGTTGTTTTTTCTTTAAATGTTTCTTAGAATTCTTCACATAAACTATCTGGGCCTGGAGGTTTGTTTTTTCGGAGTAATATATTACGATTTAAATTTCCTTAATAGCTGTAGGGCTATTCACATTATCTATTTCATTTTGAGTGAGTTGTAGTAGTTTCTGTTTTTCAAGGAAGTGGCTCATTTCATCTAAGTTGTCAAATTTATATGTATTGTGTTGTTTATAGCATTCCCTCATTATTTTATTATCTGCAGGGTCTGTAAGGATATCCCTGTTTTATTCCTGATATTGGTAATTTGTATCTTCTTTCTTTTTTCCTTTGTCAGTCTTACTAGAGGTATGTCAATTTATCTTTTCAAAGAACCAGCTCTTTGTTTCATTATCGTCTCTATGGTTTTCCTGTTTTCAATTTCATTGATTTCTGCTGTTATATTAATTATTTCCTTCTTTCTACCTGCTTTGGGTTTATTTTTTCTTCTTTTCTAGCTTTTTGAGGTGGGAGCTTAGATTATTGATCTTAAACTTTTTCTGTTTCCTAATATATGCATCTAGTGCTATAAATTTCCCTCTCAGGACTGCTTTAGCTGCAGACCACACATTTTTGGTATGTTGTATTATCATTTTCATTTAGTTCAATGTATTTTTTTTTTAAAGTTTCCTTGACACTTTCTCTTTGACTGATGGATTATCTAGAAATGTTGGTTTAGTTTCCAATGGTGTGGAGATTTTCCTATTATCTTTCTGTTATTGATATTTAATTTGATTCCATTGTGGTTAGAGAACACACTTTGCATGATTTCAATCCTTTTCAATTACTTGAGTGTTGTTTTATGGCCCAGGACATGGTCTTCTTGGAATATGTTCCATGGCACTCGAAAAGAATATGTATTCTGCTGTTGTCAGGTGGAGTGTTCTGTAAATGTCGATTAGGTCTTATTGGTTGATGGTGTTGTTTTGTTCTTCTATATCCTTGCTGATTTTCTGTCTAATTGTTCTATCAATTATTGAGAGAGCCATATTGAAGTCTCAACTATAATTGTGGATTTGTCTACTTCTCCTTTCATTTCTATCAATTTTTGCTTCACATTTTGCAGCTCTGTTGTTTGGTGCTCACGCATTTAGGATTGCTATGTTTTCTTGTTTGATTGACACTCTAATCTTTATGTAATGTCCATATCTGTTTCTTGTGTTTTTTCTTTTTTGCCAGGAAGTCTGCTTTATCCAAAATTAATATTGACATTCCTCCTTTCCTTTTATTAATGTTTACCTAGCATATCTTTTCCAACCTTTTACTTTAAATCTGTGTATATTGTTATATTTGAAAATGAGTTTCTTGTAGACAGCATATATTCAGGTTATTTTTTTAATCTGCCCTGTCAATCTGTCTTTTAATTGGTGTATTTAGGCCATTTGCGTTTAGTATAATTATTGATTTGTTGTGGCGTAACTCTACTTTTTATGTTTTTTTCTGCATGTTCTTTCTGCTTTTCATTTCTCTGTTTTCCTTCTCTTGCTTTGAGTTACTTGAATATTTAGGATTCCATTTTGATTTCTCTACAGTATTTTTTAGTGTATTTTTTTGGTATAGTTTTTCAGTTGTTGCTGTAGGTTTTCCATTATATATACACAAAACATATCACAGTCTACTGGTGTCATCACTTTACCAGTTCCAGCAAAGCACAGAAATCTTGCCTACCTTTATGTGCCATTACCATCGCCATTTATAATATAATTATCCTTTGGTTGGGGCTTTTTATAGTCTGTGCCTATTCTCATTTCTGGGTTGCCAGCTTCTTCATCTCCATACCTGGGAGTATGAGACAAAAACAAAACCCAGAGCACTCAGCCCTGTGTCATTCCTCAGGCTCAAGGTCCTTAGATGGCCCGTCTTCTTCTCTCCATCTTTCAGAATCTTCTTATTGTTTTATATATAACTTCTAAGATTTTTATTTGTACTTAACAAGGAGAATAGGGGGAAGTATGTCTACCCCATCTTTTCAGAAACAGAAGTCCTTCTTCATTATTTTTCTTATACTGTATTTCATCAACTCTAAGATGATGTCTTTTACATATTTTTATAATAACCTTATTGAGAACCTAATCACATACCATAAAATTCACCATTTTAAGGGTATAGTTAGTGGGTTTTAGTATATTTAGAGAATTGTGCAACCATCATCACTATCTAATTTTAAAACATTTTCATCATCCCACAAAGAAACCCTATACTCATTAGCAGTTGTTCCCCACTTCCCTATCCTCCCTCCACTGGCAACCACTAATCTGTTTTCCATCTCTATGGGTTTACCTTTCTTGGACATGTCATATAACTGGAATAATACAATATGTGGTCTTTTGTAACTGGCTTCTTTCACTTTGTGTAAGATTTTCAATGTTCGTTAATGTAGCATGTATCAGTACACCATTCTTTTTTATGGCTGAATAATATTCCATTGTATGTATACACGACATTTTGTTTATCAATTTGCCAGTTGATATATGCTTGTGTTTTTTTGGCTATTATGAATAATATTGCTGTGAATATTCATGTATAAGTTTTTGTGTGGACATAGTTTTCATTTTTCTTGGGTAAATACTTAGTGGTGTAATTGCTGGGTCATATGGTAATTCTATGTTTAACATTTTCAGGAATTGCCAAACTGTTTTCCAGAGCAGCTGCATCATTTTACAATACCATCAGCAATGTGTGAGAGTTACATCATATATTTTTTTAACATCTCTGAAATTGGGATGTGTCTTTTAATTGGTGGCAAATAAAATGATGCATTTTGCAAGGGGGCTGGCCAAGTGGTCTAGTGGTTAAGTTCACATGCTCTGCTTCGGTGGCTGGGGGTTCACAGGTTCAGATCCCAGGCGTGGACCTATGCACTGCTTATCAAGCCATGCTGTGGTGGCATCCCATATACAAAATAGAGGAAGATGGGCACAGATGTTAGCTCAGGGCTAATCTTCCTCAGCAGAAAGAGGAGGATTGGCAATGGATGTTAGCTCAGAGCTCGTCTTCCTCACACACACAAAAATGATGCATTTTGCAATCCATATCATCTTAGATTTGATGATATGTGGTAATATTTCATCACCATATGAATACTACAAGTCTTGATAACAATGTAAAAGCACAGGTGATAGAAATTGAAAAGTGGAAGAGGGAGCAGAGTTGATGGGTGGATTTTAGATTTTATATCTAGTTTATGGAACAAGGAAAGAAGATACGTAAGGAATATTTACAACAGAGAAATTTATGAACGTGATATATTTAAGAGGAAGAGAGAGGTGAAGTAGTTTAAATGAAGCAAATCTTCATCTATCATAGCAAGAAATCAATAGATAATGTATAAAACTCATTGATCCATAGATAGCAGAATAATCACATTATTTAGAAATATGAAAGTAACTATAATAAAAAAATGAAAAGTGACAAGGGTGGTGTCTTTGTCATTGTGTGTTCTGGGAGTGGGAAGGATGTAGGGTCGGTGATTGGCATGGGGCTAGTCCTTTATAAGCCCTTTTGTTCTATTTGTTGTGTGACCACGTGTAGGTCATTAATAAAAATTTTAAAAATACATACTAAAATGAATTTTAAAATATGCTAAACTCTTCTGTGGTGAACACTTTGAGAGTGTTAAAAAATATAAGATACGGACCTTGAATAAGAGGAAAAGAGGAAGAAAGTAATGCCAGCCAATGGGTTGATCAAAATTGTCCACTTCACAGATGCTATATATCCAACATGTGTTCCATTGTATTCATTACTTACACTATTTCTCCAAATCCAAGGAAAGTGTAAGCTCAAGAGGAGAAAAAGAGAGGAAAAGCTTATTTTCAGTTTTACCACGTTAGTGGCTCAAAGTTTCAAGATGAAGGGAGGTTAATGTTGGGATTCTGATTCTGTTTCCAACATTACCCAGGTGTACAACTAAACTAAACTATTTAATCTCGCTGTGACTCAGTTTTCTTATCCCTAAAATCAGGATAATACTCTACTTAGTCTATAAGACTTATGAAAATTAGAAAAAAATCAAGAATATGAAAACTCCTTGAAAAGTTTAGAGTGTAGGTAAGTGTTCTTTGTTAAAGCTTTTTGCACATTAGCAAAACAGGTGTTTGCAGTTACACCACGGGACTTCCTATACTATCCCAGAAATAATTAATATCAGATAATATTTAAGCTACTGATCATTCATTTTTACTCTCCTCTCTTCCTTCAAAATATTAAATACTAAGATTCAAAACATTTGCAAATCTTTGTAGGAATAATGACGTAAGAAGCGTATCTGTTACACACCAGTTGTAAATAAAGTGTGAATCTAAGGTCTTGTGCAATGTTTCATGGACCAGAAAACCTGCCTCGGGCAAATGTGGAATATTTTAGTGTGGTAAATGATGGAGGGCTTCTGTTTATGTATGTGTTTTAGAATACTCCGTCGGGTTTCGTCGTCCCAATCCAAATGGATATAGGGCATCACAAGCACTTCACGATCACCCACAATAAGACTGAAAGCACTTTCTAGACGATGATCATTTATTTGGCTTTCAGAAACATATTTCGTATATCAGAACAGCGTAAGCTGTCCCTCCGTCCCTTCCATGAACTCCGAGGCTTAGGAATGAAGGTTTGTTGACACTTGTGGGCTGCGTACAATGAGACTTGGGGCTTAGTTATTTACTCGGCATATACTCTCTCATATGTTACACAAAATTAAGTGTTACACAAATTTAAGGCATGGTACTCTTATTATCCCCACCTTACAAATGAGGAAGCAGGCTTAGAATGATTAGCCAAATTGCTTGGAGTAGGGGAGGAGCCAGAGCTCAAATCGTGCCTTGGAAGTCTGAGCTCTTAATCACCATGTTGTACTCCCCTGTTGTATGCACAGGAACTAATAGAAGATCCAAAAGGAAGAGGCATAGTATCTACCAGAGCTTCTATTATCTGTCAGGCATTTACGTAGACACTCATTTAATCTTTGCGGCAACCCGAGGGACTGATTTTATTATCACTATTATTATTTCCTTTTCACCAATGAGAAAATAAAGAAGCACAGAGATGAGGAGGGGAGGAGGGATTTGGGTCAGAATTGGTGGCCATGCAGCCTGTCGGGGTGGGAGGAAAGAGGAGGGACAGTCTGTTTGTGGGCAGAAGTGGAGAGGTTGATCAGGGGTGCTGAGGACCCCGGGTCAATGCTCTACTTTATTATGATGCGCTCTGGCCTGCAAGTATCATGAGCCAACTTAATTATAGTGAAACCTGGAGCTGCCTGTGGGGCGACTAAGCTAGAAGAAAGTAAACCTGGTGCCAGCCGCCTCTTTGCCACCATCTAGGAAGCTGGTAATGAAGCCAACACAGAGGATATCAGAGCCAAGAGATGGAGTGTGAAATATTCCTATTGATATCATTTCAGCACCTGGATCCAGCTATGCCTGAGGTCCCCACTGGGCATTCTGTTGTGTTGGCTAATGCCATTCTCTGTGATGCTTAGTTTGAGATGAGTTTCCACGAGTCTTAGTTGCAAGAATCCCGAAAACAGATACCCACAACTTTTCATGGCACAGATATCCAACTTTTCTATCCACAGGACCATGATGCTACCTCGGAAACAGGAGTTGAAGTGAGGGATTTCCACAAGGTCACACGGCTGGTGAACACTGAGGCTGGGATTAAAGATCCAGAACTATGATCCTGATCTTCACCCCCCTCCCCTAGTTAGCAAAGAGTCAGTAGGCTTTTAAGGTAATTGTTCAGTATACTGATCTCCTTTTTAATTTTATTTTGGATACATTAGATCATGTTCCATAACCAGAGATTACAAGAAACTAAAGAGTTGTTCCTTTTTTGTAGTACCTGATGGAATTCTTTGGGGTAATAAAAAGATGAGGAAAGGAATGAACAAAAGGAACACGCATTTATTGAATTCTCCTTATTTTCTAGGACTGTGTAGGCATTTTGGTGTAGATTATCTCATTTATTTCTCAAAATAACCCTTAGAAGTGATTATCCTCATTTCTACTGCATGGATGAAAAAACTAAGAGTCTAAACTCAGCCGTCTGGCTCCATCTCCTGTACCTTTAACAGATTCACTATGGGGCCTCACTACACACAGTGAAATGGGAGAGGGTCCCTGTCTGAGCTTCTGTTTGATTTCAGCAGAGAGAGCAGATGGTCCTGAGATGAAGCCCAGGGCCTTCATCTATTAGCAGTGATCTTGGACAAGTCACTTCACTTCTCCAAACCTCAATTTCCCATCTATAAGTGTGGGATCATACACTGTAACCTACAGGAGTTTGTGAGAATTCTTGATTAAATATATGTGCAACATATAGTAGTTCTCACCACACACACACAGAAATGGTAACTAGGTGAGATGATGGGTGTGTTAATTAGTTTGATTGTGGTGATCATTTCACGATGTATACGTACATCAAATCATCATGTTGTACACCTTAAACATGTACAATTTTTATTAGTCAATTATCCCTCAATAAAGCTTGGGGGAAAAAAAGGCTTATGGAGCCTCTCCTATATGCCAATAGAAGGAGGCAGAGAGCGTGGCGAACGCAGTATGATGTAACGAGGTAGGGCAGGGCTGCAGGTGCTGTAGCGAATTGATAGCCAGGCTCAGTCACCTACTAGCTGGGTGACTTTGAGTAAATCACTCAACCTCTTTAGACTTCATTTTCGTCCTGCGTAATATAGGGATCTTTTAGGATGGTTGTATAACGAATGAAATAAGGCATATAAATTGCAAAGCACAGTGGCTGGCCACCTAATAAGGAATCAATAAATATTAGCTGCTGCTGCTGCTACCAAACCTCAGTACTAGAGGCCAGGGTGATGGTTCTCAACCTTTGGCTGCCTGAGTATTATAGTTGCCTGGGGAGCTTTTAAAATTCTGGTTCCCAGCCACATCCCAGGTCAATTAAATCATAATCTTTGGGGATGAAAGCCAGGGATCAATATTTTTCAAAGCTCCCCAGGTGACTCCAAGGTGTAGCCAAGATGTGCCTTGTACCATGGAATCAAAGATGATTTTAGGGATGTTCACCCTCCCTCTGGGGAGCTCACGTCTTCTGGAGAAGACCAGCATGTATGGAGATGTGATATGTTAATTCTATATTCCTGGTATGGGCCAGGAGCTGGAAGAAAACAACAGAATGAGTGGTCAGCCGTGATTCGCACAAAAGTAACTAGGTCATTGCAATCCAGCTGACATTAGCCACCGGCAGTAAAGAGGTCCTAGGCGTCCGTTAACCTCTCAGTGCCTTGGCTTACTCCTTCGTGAGATGGATGGGTAACTGTGATGCTCTTTACAGGGCCTGCCAGATGGTGAAAAGAAAAGCCGTTGTCATCTGCTTCAAAGAAGTGTTAAAAAGTTCACTTAGACATGGAAATATGGAGACACGCTGTAGTCCAGTCGAAGTGGGTGAGATTAGAACCATCCTTTGCCAATCAGCAACGCCATCTCTCCTGCACTCCATGATTCCTCTGATTCCTTTTGGTTCAAGAGTCTTGATAATTCAATCCCCCCGTTCGGAGTTCATCAAGAACAAAAAAGCCTAAATTGACTGGTGTTGTGGGTTGAATTGCATCCCCTCAAGAGATATGTTGAAGTCTTAAACACCAATAACTATGACTGCGACCTTATTTGGAAATAGGGTCTTTGCAGATGTAATCAAGTTAAGATGGGATCATACTGGATTAGGGTGGGCTCTAAATCCGATGACTGGTGTCCTTATAAGGTGAGAGAGATACAGAGACACAGAGGGAAGAAGGCCATATGACAGCAAAGGCAGAGATCAGAGTGATGCAGCCGCAAGCCACGCAATGCCAAAGATTGCTGATAACCACACAAGCTAGGAAGAGAAAAGGAAGGATCTTCCCCCAGAACCTTCAGTGGAAGCATGGCCCTACTGACAACTTGTTTTTGGACTTCTAGTCTCCAAAAGTGTAAGATGAGAAATTTCTCTTTGTGATAATAAACCATAATAATACCAGTTTGTAGTAATTTGTTCCTACAGCTCTAGGAAACTAATACAACTGGTGACCTATCCTTTTTCACATGAGAATGGAAAATCATTTAAGCCCACTAGCTCTAATCAGAGAGCAGCAGAACAGATAACTCACCATCCTCTTGGGATTGAGGTTGAGTAGGCTGACTCTCACTAGCCAAGATCTCAGGCACCCAAAGCTTCACAAGTACCTTCCAAAGGGTTCATTGCCTTCATTACACTCAAGGCAAAGATGGAACCTGGCTTTGGTAGACTTTAAAAGACCTAAGTGAAGATTTCTATCTGTGTTGGATCATTTGGCCACGTGGGCACCAATACCAGGACCCTTCCCACATCCATAGTAAGGAAGGAGATTGATGTGGGTCAAAGAGCCTTAGATTCTTTTAGCTCCTTGAGAGCAGATCATACGTGGCTTGAAGCCAGACTCACCCAACATTACAACATTGTCTCCAGCTGCTTCCCAATCCTGCCCTCTTCTATAATTATAACACATAGCCGGGGTCCCTCCCAAAATAGATGCTTGTTTCCACCTTTCCAGGGCCTCTGGATTTCACTGAAAAACAAATTTCCCTTACATGCCTCCATAAACTTTTAGGTCTTGTTATTCTGCTTGTGTCTGAAACACACCCTTATTTGTTCATCTAGACGTATTTATTGTGTCTTTTCTCTGTGTTGAGAACTGCTATAGATGCTGGGGACGGAGGAAACAGAGGACAGAGCAGACAAGCTCCCTGCGCTCTTGGAGCTCAGGCTGGGCATTATCAAAAACCCTACAATAGAGAGACTTTAAATAACAAAGGCCCCTGTCAAGAGAGCTTTAACAAAGTAGATGCTAGGAAAATATAGGTGGTAAAATGGATTTCAAAGCACTTAGCTGGGAACGCAAAGAGAAAAGAAAGAATCAAGATCAATTATGGAAATAAAGGGATTAGTTCTTGAGAAGCATAGAGGTGCTGATTAGAGCACAAACATGGAGGGAGAAGGAGTTGAGACCAAATCTGGCCTCACCACTTGCCAGCCCTGTGATCTTGACAATTTCCCTAGTTCTGTATACCTTGATTGGCTCACCTATATGTATTTTCACAAAAGGATAGCCTTTACAAAAGATAACCTACTACATACAGCAGCTGTGAAAAATTAAATGAGATAAGGCATAAAAAATGCATCTCAAGTGCTTGGCAAGCAACCTCAGATATTATTTTCACAAGTCGTGTATGAAACATTTACTAACGACAGCACTCCCAGTCGGCAGCTTTGATTGCCACACTCGGATTCACAGCCCCTAATGTGTTTCCCCCGCAGATGCCAAGTATCACCTTCCATTTCATTTCCCACCTTACGTTTGGAATTTGAGACGGGCAGCTCCTTTGGTAGGGCTAACTGAATTTATTGAATAAATATTTATGTACCGCCTCTTCCTGGGGCTGGGGACAGAGCACTGAACTAAAGAAACAAAGTCTCTGTCCTCTTGTGGCTTAAATTCTAGTGATAGAGAAAATGAAATGCATATCAATTAAGGTCAGGTAGCATCAAATGTTATGAAAGACATACAAAGCGAAATCAACCAATGACTGTTGGGCATCTACTAGACATCAGGGGCTGTGGAGGCTGGGGCTGCAGCCACCTACCGCAAACGGAAACGGCATTACAACCTGGACAACGCTGTAATATAGAGGAAGGAGTAATGGTTGTTTGGAAGATCCAAACTATCACAGCATAGAAATAACTCCGGGCTGATCAACGAGCAAAAGCGAACACATGCACTAGGTGAGGACTTTGCCAAGAACTCCTGTAAATCCTATCCTCTAATCCCAGATATGTTTACTACCTTTGTTCTAACACTGAGAAGTAAATTTGCAAGAAGGAAAAGGAAGGAAGGACAGGAGGAGGAGGCAGCTAGGATGGATATACAGGAATAAAACCGGCTTTGATCTTTCTAAAAGGTCAATGTGGGATTTTAATTTCTTCTCTATGCAGGAAATGGAGATAGAGTTTGCCTGAAATAATTTGAGAATATTGCTTCTTCATTTAATTAGAAAATTCCTCTAGAAGTATTTTCACTGAAGATTTCAGTTAAGTATAACTAAAAAGATAAGCATGCAGATCCCAACAGAGGAGGAAACCCAAGGCTTGGAAGTGGAAGGAGCTGCTCAATGTCCTGGGAAGGCTCTCCAGTGACCCACCTCGACTTTCTCCCACCAAGAGGCTCTGCCCTCCCAGCTGCTTTCCTCTGTCAGCCAGGTGGAAGGACCAAGGGGCTTTGGCAAAACAGTGTGTCCCAGGGTGGTCAGTCTTGTTGGGCATTTTGACCAGCCCTGGGGAAAGGGACCCCAGCAGACCCTGCCCTGGGGCAGAGAGCTGAACCATCCTTTCTCCCCACCATCTTTGTTGCCCTTGGCAATTACAAAGTGATGCTGCCTTAAAGGACAATGAGCTGTGAAATGCCTTCAAGTCAGACACATATGGGCTCAATCACCTCCTCTGCCAATTATCAGTGGTGTGGCCTTGGACAGTGAACTTAACCTCTCTGATGGTGTTTCCCTCTCTCTACAATAAGGCTCTATATGTGGGGATTAAACACCAGCATGTGAGTCAATTATCTGGCACATAATAAGCACTCAGTAAATGGTCTCCAGGATCTTGATAATTGACCTCAGATTATGCAAGTCCACTCAGAGCCTGTGGGTCTGAAAGGAGAGGGATTCACAGCTTGGCTGAGGATGGAAAGATAATCAAGTGAGAAGAGACATGGGGGAATTTGGGATTCCAGCCCCTCTTTGTCTCTCTGGCTACTTGTGCTCACTCTCAAAAGCCATTTTAGCCCATGCCCACCTGCTCTCATGTTTGAAACAGAGACTTGAATAAGCGGATCTAATTCTCCTCTCTCCTCTGAGTCTGTCCTCTGATGCTCACTGGTGCCACAGGCAGTGCCTTGAAGTTCAATTAAAGCAATGACCTTCAGAGCAGTATTTTTCAGCTTGCAGGGGGATTTTCACATATACGATTTCATTCAATCATTGCAAACATGTTTTGAGATCTCATTTTCCTGATGGGTAACTGAGGTCCAGAGCCACAAAGGTACTTGTGCGAGACCTCAGAGAGGTGCAGAGTCAGACTTGAGCCCAGGTCTCATGACCAAGGTGTGAAGTCAAAGTCCTGAATGGAGTCTTCTCCATAGTGCTTGCAGTGTGCCTGGTGCATAGCAGGCACAGGCCTATGCTGAAATTCATTGAGTTAACATCCATGAAGGCTGTAGAAGCTGAATTCCAGAGACGTGGATGAAAGCCATCAAACAACATTATGAAACATAACTCTCTGGTTCTGAGGTCAAGGGAGGGTACAAGGTGTGGGCAAGTCGGTGTTTGTTTGGGCTTGCCTGCTTTGTCTCAGTGCACTTTCCACATATGGAGCAGCTGACACATTCTGTGTCTTCTTTCTATGCCTTTTGCTTTGATTAATTGCACCTTTCATGATTCATATTGCCTAATTGCCTTCCAAATGGGTTATTCCTGGGTGGTAACCTTATGAGGGGAGGTTTGTGGGTCTCTAGAGTATCTTAAGTATGATGTTGCAAAGCTACAAGTAAATGAAGCATGATCTCCTGATAGCACAAGACAGATACTGTGAGGATGCTGCGTGTGCTCTACAGCAACGCTGTTCCGTAGAACTTTCTCACTGATGGAAATGTTCGACCTCTGCACTATCCAATATGGTAGCTACTAGCCACGTGTGGCTATTGAACACTTTAAGTGTGTGGAACTGAATTTTTAATTTCACTGAATTTAAATTAATTTAAATTTAGATGTAAATAGCCACATGCGTCTGGTGGCTACCATACTGGACAGTGTGACTCTAGAATAGTCAAGATTGATTTTGCAGAGTGAGATTTTAATCCTAATTCTGCCACTCACGGTCTGCATGACAGATAAGCTCTCTGAGCTTCAGTCTTCTCATTCATTAAGTAGGCTCAGTAAATTTTTTTCCTTGTAGCTTTCATGATAATTTAACAATATATTATATATTAAGTGTGTAGAACAATGCAAGGCATATAACGTGGAAGCCCATTAAGTGAGAGCTATTGATACCACACTTACAATTGCATGTATGAAGTATCCAAGGCACACAGGAGACTTGAGTGACAACTTTTCCTTCTTGTGAGCTCTTACGGGCTGAAGAAGGAATCCAGGACCAATTGACCTGGGATTTATCCATCTAAAATTGTCCACATTCCTATGGAGATTATGGAGTGAGCCTGTGATGTCAGCTTACAGCAGAAACCCTCATCTACTTAGAACATATATTAGAGTTCCTAGGAATACGTGAACATGTGTTGAGGTCCTGGGTATCTTCTGTGGCCATGAATGCACTTTAGGACTGTTCTGAGGCATCATCAGTTCTGCTCTCAGATCCCTGACCAGACATTGTGCCAGATCATGTAGCTCCCTGATTGCACCTCACAGGTCTGGGTCTCCGTGCCCTGCCTCTGCCTGGAAAGTTGTCTTGCCCCCTAACGAGCACCGTTTTGTCTGCCTTAGCAATTTCCTCTCCTCTGGGACCTTCTTAAAGAGTCAGCTTAAACATTGCCCCTCTTGAAAGTCTTCGTTTACTTCACCTCTGTGCCCCTTGAACACAACTTTACTGTGGCACCTGCAGATGTCTGCATGCCCAGCTTGCTGTCAGAGGATCAGATTTTTCAGTTTCTAGAAAGTCTCTGACCCTAGTGTAGAACCTGGTATGTAACAGGAGCTAAGTAAATATTTGACAAGACAATAATGATGACAACAACAAAGATGATGATGGTGATGATAATATTGATGGTGGTAATAATGGTGATGATATGGTGATGATGATGATATGGTGATGATGACGATGTTGATGGTGATGATGATGTTGATATGATAATGATGATAATGGTGGTGATGATGATGGTGATAGTGGCAAACATTCATATAGTGGTTGCTCTGTTCCAGGCACTGTTACAAATGCTTTACATAGCATTCATTTAATCCTCACAACAACTCTATATAGTAGCTATGATTTTTGTCTCCATTTTACATATAAGTAGTACAAAGATCAGGGAGTTTAAATAATTTTCCCAAGGTTGACCCAGTGTGGAAGTGGATTTCTTACTAAAGTGGCTACACTTCCAGAGAGCTAAAGGAACTGCTCTCCCAAGAGATCTGGAGCCTGGTATCTTCTCCCTGTGGACCTCACCATGAGAACAAATGTTGCTCTGACTCCTATTGATTTGGGAGCTAAAGGACCAAGACCCCTGCATTTCAGCATAAATTGCTGAGCCTCGGAAATAGCCCTGCCTGGCTCCTGAAGGCAGAAGCACGTCCCCACGTCCCTCCCCAATTCCCAGGCACTTATCACTCAGACAGCTGCAGTGGAATGATTTACAACCACTTGGCGTTCTCCAACAGAAAGCTGAAAAATGCCACATACTGTGGAATACCAATTGCAGCCCTCTCACCGAAAGCAGCCGCTGGTGACATTCTGCAGAACTACCTGCCTTCACCACCAACCCCACGCCACTTTTCAATGTAGGTCTCAGCTGGCCCTGGAGCAGTCCTGCCTCCACTTGGCTTTAAGCAGCAGAGAGAGAACGGCATTGAAATCAGGGCTGAGTGGGGTGAAATTTCTACGTTGGTGGGTTATATGAGCAGTGAAATCTCCTCATGCTCCACTCAGCTTCAGTTCTTTTTTGCTTCACATTCTCCTTCTTATTTATAACAAATTGGCTCATTTAACAAATATTTATGGAGCCCCTTTTAGGTTCTAAGACATGTGCTAGATGCTGGGAAGACTGGGTTGAAAAATACCCGGTTTCTGCCCTTCGTCTAGTTGTGGGGCAGAGGGGCTAGGAATATATATTTGATGTGCAGTGTGATAAATGCCATGGCAGAATTGAGTGAGCCTGGAGTGCTGCTATGGGGGCAGGAGGGAGGGGCATTCACAATCTGGAAAGGCTTCACAAAGAAGGGGCATCTAGGCTGTGCCTCTAAGACTCACAAAACTGAGAAAGCTGGGAGGGAAGCCCAGGCCGAGGGAACAGCTTTAAAAAACGCATGGGGGCATGAAAGGATGCTGTGATGGTTAGTTCTATGTGTCCACCTGCCTAGGCTGTAGTGCCCAGTTACTTAATCAAACACTAATCTAGGTGTTGCTGTGAAGGTATTTTGTAGATGTGGTTAAAACTCACAATCAGTTGATTTTAAGTAAAGACTACCCTCAATAATGTGGGTGGGCCTCATTCAATCAGATGAAAGGGCTTAGGAGCAAAACTGAAGTTTGCTGCAGAAGAAGAAATTCTGCCTCAAGGCTGCAGCATCAGCTCCTGCCTGAGTTTCCAGCCTGCCCCACAGATTTCAAATGTACCAGCCCCCACAATCAGGAGCCAATTCCTTGAAATAAATCTCTTAACAGGTACATGTGTATGTGTATATATATATTGTATCTATATATATATCTATATCCATATCTATATCTATATCTACATCTATATCTATATCTATATCTATATATCTTCTTGGTTCTGTTTCTCTGCAGAACCCCGACTGACATTGATGCCACATGCATAGGAATTAGTTTACGTTTCCGTGTGGCTGGAGCCTGGGGCATGTGGTTGGGAGTGAAGGAAGATGAAGCTTGTGGGGGAGCAGGAAAGAGACTTAACTTTTTCATGAGGACAATGGGGAGCCATGGAATAAGTGGGTGAGCGGCTGGTCCAAGTGTGTTTCGGAAAGATCGTGCTGGTGGCTGAGTGGAGGATGGCCCTTACCCCCTCCTTGTGTCCTGTGCCTTTCCTGCCTCATCTGCCTCCTCATGAGATCATCACAAGAACGCTCATCATCTCCACCAGTTAGCATGGCTAACAGGAATAATCATGAGGGCGGGTCCTGAGCCAGACAGACCTGGGTTGGATACCAGCTCCGACACTCACCAGATGTGCGCCTGCATGAGGCTCCTCGGCTCTCTAGGTTTTGGCTCCTTCCTCTGTAAACAAGGGTATGACAGTCCCTACCTAAAGTGTCGTGTGAGGATGAAATAAGACAGTGTCTGCAGAGGTGTGCTGGGCACCTTCTTCATGCTTCTCAACCCTCTCTGTGCTCCCAGAGCTGAAACCTGCAGACTGCATCACCCCTGGGCTCCATTGCCCTCTAGTGTCCCGCTGGGTTTGGCCCGTGGGAGGCACAGCAGAAACTGCAAAGTGGGTACTGTTCCCTGGTCCCTCCGAGCTTCCAGGCTATGAGGCCATGCTTCTGTTGGGCAGCCCCCTCCTAAAGCCACAGCTGCCCCCCGAGTTCTTGAAGCCCATCCTTCTCCTCTCCTTTCAGGCCAAGTGGGTTATGGTTGCCACTCTTGCTAGCCCTGGAGTACTTCATCACAGCCCTTAACCTGACCCCCATCTTTGTAAATAGGCCCCTTATTAAACGTGCCTCAACTATGTCTTTGGCCTGTGCCTGGTATCAGTTCCCCTACATTAAACCCAGCATATATGGAGTTAAAAACAAAAGCACTCATCCCCTGTCCCTGCTTCTCTAAGTTACATTCTTATGTAAATATCCTTTTTTAAACCTTTGTATCCCTGAACTTCACAAGGCAGATAGAAGTTACAAATGGTTAAAAGCCCAGGTGGCCTCAGGCTGGGCTCACACTGAGGTTTTTGGCTAATTACCAGTCCTTGAGGTTTGTTGCAGGGAAACTGATATCCAGAGAATACCAAGAAGCTAAAGCTTCTCAGACCTCAACTCCTTGGCTTCCTGGCACCAGAATATGCCATCCACCATGGAGACGGTTGAAGGACACCTACCTTTGATTCCCTTGTCTCGCCCTCCTCCTCCCTGCCAGCAGCCTCAGGAGGCCAAAGGCAGGCTAGTGGGAAAGCACCAACCAGCAAGGCTGCAGGTTCCCTCTCCCTACAAGCAGCTGAATTCCTCACAACCTTTAAACCCCCTTGCCTCCCATCTTTTGGGGAGAGGGGATAAATGTGAGAGTTCTTGTCTCCTGGCTGATGTCACTGAAAATAAAAACCCTTTCCTTGCCGTAAGCCTGGTGTTCCAGTTTTATTTGGCCCCTCTTGTGTGGCGGGTAAAGAACCTGGGTATGTGTTCGGTAACACGCCCACCACACACTAAGCATCTAATACACAGTATTCATGAGTAGTTATGATTACCATGTTGTTATTATATTTATGATAAAACTGAGATACAAAAAGGCCATGCTGACTTGCTTAAGTTCATACAAATAGCTTTCATTAGCGAGAACCCTGTGTCTGCCTGACACAGTAAACTTCAGCAGGCGTTACTAGTCTCATCGCCTCCTACAGGTGAGAAAACTGAGCGCAGAAAGGTTAAGACACTTGCCCAAGTTTGCACAGCTGTTAAAGGGCAGACTCTGGATTCAAACCCAGAACTTTGGGACTTGCCCTGTCCTACAGTGATGTCACCCTGTTTTTTCTGCCCAACCCTAAAATCCCACTGTTGGTATTCTACCCTGTCCTTCTATGTTCTTGCTTCATCGGCCAAGACATCTCTGTTTCTTGTCACAGACACCTCCACCTTCTGAGTGGATAAAATCAGACTGAGTTCATCTGTCTACAGAAGCCAAGAGAGATCGGGACGTGGTGCAGGGATGGGCCAATCTCGGTCAAATGTGTAATTTATTGCCAGAAGCCACCTGGAATCAAATCAGAACATTGTCTCCAGATCTGCCAGAACATCTCCCCCATCCGGCCTCAATCACTTTGGATTCTGGGGAGGATTTGTCAGGCAGTCAGACATGTCAGCTTCCCAGGATGGGGGCTTGCAGAGTCCACCACAGCCCTGCTGGATTGCTGACAGCCTCAGGTATTGGTTTTCTTGTGCTGAATAGTTTGAGTCAGTACTGTGCTGTCATCAATTATGGCCCAGGGCTGGGCAGCTCATCATCCATCGTGCCTTCAGAAGCCCGCTGGAACCAAATTGTTGGGACCCTGCAGCCTGTTATTTTATCTTAGGGCCTGAGATTTCATGGTCAGAATTAAAAGACATCTGTTCCATCCTCTGATCTGAAATTTCTTTGTATCTGATTTGTTGGTATTTGTAGGGCTGTAGCCTTGTGAGTGTTTAATGTCAGAATAATGGGACTTTGGTGTTTGGCAGTTCCTTTAGTTTCATTTTAATTTCTTTTTCTTCTATTATATCCAAGGGAAAAATAATTAACATTGCATTTCAAAAAAGTCAGGATCCCGTTTTTACAATTCTATTTCTATCTGTTGATCTCCCATCTATTAGTGTATGAGCTTAGAAAGATATCTGAAATGATCTTCAGCAAATGTTAGCCACGGTTATTTCTGGATGGTGGGCTTTGGCGTAAGTTTGGCATTCCTTCTTTGTACTTTTCTGAATTATTTAAATGTTTTGTGACAGTCATGTATTATTTCCACAAAGACAGTCACAATTCTCTTAAGAGAGAGAGAAGTATAAAGCTCAGAGCCAAGAAGAGACCCCAGAGATTTTCAAGTCCAAGCCTCTATAACACAGATAAGGAAATAGAGGTTCAGACATGGCAATAGGTTTACCTCAGGTCTCATAGTAACTTGATCATTGAAGCAAGACTAGAACAAAGACATAGCTCTCAATCTGGGTTTTCTCCCAATATTCATTCATTCATTCATCAAAAATTTAGTGAACATGTACTTTGAAATAAGATGAATCCAATGGGGTCCCTGTCCTCAAGGAGACAGCGAGTTGAATCAAGGTTTATAGCGTAGTCAATGAAATTATGGAGGAGATGACAGGGGGCTGTGAGAGCACAGAAGAAGAGGGACCTAGTGCAGGCACGAGAGGAGAGAGGGGCTCCAGGTGAGCCCCCCGGAGGAGAAGATACAAGCAGCAGTTGGACAGATACAGAAGGGGGCAAGGATGGTGTAGGCGGGAGAACAGTGTGAGCACATCCATGGATGTGAGAGAGAGCACGGCCACTTGTCTGATAAGGAATAGTCACCACGTGGTTAAAACAAAGGTGAGAGGCAATGGTGAGGGCTGGGGGAGGCATCGAGCTGGGAGGGTAGACATGGGCAAATTAGAGTCGAACACCCCAGAATCTGTGTGGAAACCACATGAGGACATGGACCTTGTCTTTCTTATTCACTGCAGCATCCCCAGCCCTATGATAGATGCTCAATAGATATTTGCTACATAGATGGATCAGCAAAAATGGCATCCCCTCAAGGAAGCCTTCTCCAATTCCGTGTTCACCCCAATGGCAAAATTAACCTTTCCCCCATTTCTATTTCTTAGGCCTTTGTCCATTTATTTTAGCACCTACAATAATCTGTCTGGCAAGAGAGATCATGTTTTCCATGTCAGTCTTCCCCGTGAGACCATAGGCTTTGAAAAGAAAGATGGAAGGTAACACGTCTGATTCCGCTCCACATCACCCCAGAGTGTCTGGCACACAGTGGTACTCAATGAAGGTCTGATTAAAAGACACCTATTAGGCTCCCCTTCTTCAAAGTCTTCCCTCCCAACTTACCTGGAACCTTTCACTACACCTGGCCATAATGTCTAAAATTCTGAACACCTAAAGGGCTCGCCAGGGTCAGCAGGAAGGATCCTGTTGGGATGGTGAGGACGGTAGTGGGTATCTGTCGGTTCCACCTGCTCTGGAGTCATTCCCCCTTCTTTTGGTTTCCAACACTTGTGTTTTCATTTGGCGAGCAACCCACCGAATGCAATTTTGTTGGGAATGTCCACCAAGGTGATCCATCCACCCCTGACCTGTGGTTGGCCCACAGGCTGGACCAATCAGTTTCTGTCTCCCAGGATTTTCAAAAGTAAGCAGAATGATGCAAAGACCAAAAATATTTGGAAAGAACTTACCCAAGTGTGTTTCCCCATGTCCTTATCTTCTGTTGCTTGTGAACAAAAAACCTCTGCAAACACAGGATTGAGTTATTCACTGTTGGGCATGTTTCATTAATTCTCCAGGGAAACCAGCCACCCGCATCACGCCACGCTTTCTGCTCTCCTTCGACGAGTATTTTTGAGTGCCTACTTTGCTCATGGCACTGTGCTGTCCTTTTGAGGTTTATATTCCCTGAAAATTAACAAGAACATGTCAGCAACCTCAACAAAAAAAGCAGGTAAGGTACATAATCAGTTTTGGGAAAGTATAGAATCAGGTTTTCCAGTTTTTCAAAGAGGAAACCCAAAAAAGCCACCAAACATATGAAGAGATGCTCAAACTTCTTAGTAATCAGAGAAATGCCAAGGAAAACAGCAATGAGATATCAATTTACACCTGTGATACAGACAAACGTTAGAAAGCTGGGTAATGCCAGGTGTCAGCCAGGGGAAGGTATGGGTGTGCTCTGTGCTGCTAGAGGAAGTGTGGTGTGGGTCAGGCATTCTGGAACAATCTGGAAGTATTTGGTCAGATTAAGTATACTTGTAGCCTGTGAGCCAGCAATACAGCCCATAGGGGTAGTCCTGTACTAATGTTCTCACTGGTCTATAAGGAAACATGCAAGAGAGCTGAGGCATTGTTTGTGGTAACAGAAAGTTGGAGAAGATTGGGGTGCCTGTGAAAGTGGACAGGTGAGAAAGGAAGGATGCCCATCAGGGAGTCCCAAGCAGTATTTAGAAGAAGTGGACTAGTGGCACACCTAGCAACATGGATGGAATGTGAAAACAGTGGAGGGGAAATAAAAGAGCAAGAAACAGAATGAGATATGGTGTGATGTCATTCATACAAATTAGAAGACACGTCGCCAAATAATATTTTGCAAGGACATATACAGAGAAATGATACACATTAAATGCATTGGGATGCCTGTCTATGGGAAAGGGGAAGTGAGATTTAAGTGGAGTAAAGAAATAAAACAGAAGAGGATGGGAAAGGTTGACATTGTTGCATTTTTTACCAAAAGGCATTAGGGAAGGAAGTTGCCTTTAAAAGGGCAGGATGGCAGGACCTGGGGAAGTAGGTGGACTCTGACCAAGGACAAGCTTTAGCATCATCCAAGGATCAATGCGGCAGGCACCCTGCTTCCTAGAGCTTCTGTTGACGTGCGCTTCATGAGCATGACGTTGTTTTCTGAAAGACTGTGCAGGAGTGACTGAAGTAGGTCGCTGCAATCTGTGTGTCTCCTGTATATTCTGATATCAGAGAGTTAACTTACCAGTGACACTGCTTAGACCAGGAGAGAGACACCTTCCCATTCTGGTTACATGAATCACTATTTCTTAGGGCAGAAGGATCAGAAGTTATTAGCAGGATGCTGCTACATTAATATGCATTATTGGGTATTATTAGTTCAGGTCAACTCATGATAATTTCTATGTAGTTCTAGGTCTTTAAAAGTTCTAATCTTTAAAAAGTCCTGAATAAAACAAATCTGTAATTGTTCTTATAGATGAATGGTTGAAGGAGGAGTCCTTAATAAATATTAAGGTCAAGATTCTGTGATTCTCCAGCAGTTCTACTCCTATGTGTCTGCCCAAGAGAAGTGAAACATAGTCCATATGGATTCGGGCTGTGCACAGGTTACTGAGCAACCTTATTCACAACAGCCAAATCCTGGAGACAACCCAATTGTCCATCAGCTGATGAATAGATAAACAAGTCTGTTATAACCATACAATGTACTGCTATTTAGCAGTAAACAGGAACAAACTACTGATACACACAGGGGTGAATCTCAAAAGCACCACGCCAAGTGAGAGAAGCCAAACACAAGAGTACATAGTGCGTGATTCCATTTCTGTGAAATTCTATAAGAGACCAATAGAATCTGTAGTGATAGAAAGCAGATCAAGAGTTGACCGAGGCTGGTGGATGAGGATTGGCTGGGAAGGGATGCAAGGGAATATTTGGGAGTGATGGAAATGTTCTGTATCATGATTGTGGTGGAGGTTACACATTTGATAAAAGCCCATGAATAATACACTTAAAACGTGAGCATTTTATTGTATGTTAATTATGACTCAATAAAGTTGATTTGAAAAATAGAACAGATAAGAATCCCCCTTTATTAGGGGGCTAGAATTGCGAGCCTTATTCCTCTCTGAGTGGGCTACACTACTTTAAAATGATGCTATTCCTTTTCTTACAGGCTACTTGGAAAGATCTAATGAAATAGCCTATGGGAAATAACAGCAACAACAGCAATAACAATAATAATGAGGAGGAGGAGGAGGAAAGGGGCATTTATTGAAGATTTACTATGGGCTAGGACCTTCAACAACTCTATAAGGTATGTACTATTATTAACCTCGTTTTACAGATAAGGAAATTGAGGCACTGAGAATTTAGATAACTTGTTTAAGCTCACAAACAAAGTAACGGGGCTAGGGTCAAACTCCAGATAGTCTGAGTACAGAGGGATACCTTTAAGCTCTAACCCTTATAGGCTACAGGGCTCTGTATGAACAGTAAAATATATAAATGTCTTAATCCAAAGGAAAAATGAAGAATGGGAAATTCATGCATTTAGCCAAGCAAGGAATATTAGGACCCTCCCACCTTACAGGTGACAGCTGTCTATATACTTAGTCACAGGGTCTTTCATACGGTTGAGAATGAACAAGAGTACCTCTATTTTTTCCTAACCTTTCTTATGGTGTCACTCTCTTATTTACTTTAATATCTGCCACCAAAGTTGCCACAAAACCAATGAACAAAATAACAAAAGAGATCAACAGTTGTGTAATGAGTAATGGCTGTCTTGCTCTCCTGGTACCCAAGTGGGGACAAGATAAATGAGATTGAAGGACAGCTCTGACTATCTAGACAGGAGCATAAATTATCATGTGGCCCTCAACAGCCCATGGGGTCCCCTTTCATTGGAAAGTCAAGCTCCTGGTACTAACACAGCAGATCTGTGCAGCCAGTATGGCCAGGCTAGTCTTGAGCCTGGAGGTAACCATCTTCTCGCCGAGGCCAGGGAATCTACAACATTCCCGTGTTGCACTTGGTCTGGCATGGGAGAAGTGAGCACAGAGGGGAAAGAGGCATGCCCAAAGGCATAGGATGTGTCATTGGGTAAGGACTGAGCCCTCTTCAGCCTCATCCACTGGCTCTCAGCTCATTATCTATCCCCGAAAGCAACTGATGGGATAAGAGCCCATCGTGGGAATTGGAGCTGGTCCGAGGTTATAAAGCTTTTTGCATATGGTGGTTATAACGCTGTGGAGCCAGACTGCGGCATTCAGGTCCTGACTGCCTGACTTGATCAGTCCTAACAGGGTGACTCCAGGAAAGCATATTAACCTTTCTGCACTTGAATATCTCCTTCTGTATTGTCTGAGTTTTAAATCAAGAGTGCTTAGCAGTGTCTGGTGCATAGCGAAAAACTCAATCAATGTTAGCTGTGATTGTCATAATCACAGGAATCCTGCAATTCCAAGATGCATCCTCTTCACATTTTGAAGTTCAGAATGTATCTTAAAATAGATGTTTTCCATAAATCTAAAATTATCCAAAATAAAAAGTTTATTTAGAAATTGATGTATTAATTTAAAGTGGTAACGAAGTTCTCACTAGTTTTTTTTTTAACTCTGAATTTAAAAAATCATGTTAGTAAACCAATGTGGTAACTTAGAATCACTAGCATCTTAGAATCAAAGTAACTAAGTATTACAGGACCCAAATATGTGTGATAGATGGGGATACAATGATGGGTTTTGTATGGTAGCCAGATGCTCATTGATTGGAGCTACACTGGTTATTGTTGATTCTTCATATGTACAATGCTCTCCTCACCACAGGACCTTTGCACATGCCATTCTTTTGAGTTCTCCATCCTACCTTCTTCACATAGTTAATGCCTCATCATCCTTTACTTCCCAGCTCTAACATCATTTCCTCAGGGAAGTCCTCCTCAAATCTCTTATCTAGGTTAAAATTTTACAGTATCATATGCTATTGCATTACAGCCCTTGTCATGGTTGTAATTTTATATACACTACACAAACATTTGGTTATTATCTGTCCCTTTCAATGGACTTTAAGCTCCATAGGAGGAAGAGACCACATCTTCTTTTACTCATCACTTATCTCCAACACCCAGCGTGGCATCTGGCACACAGCAGGAGCAGAATAAGTATCCTTTGTAAGAATGAACAAATGAATGAAGGAGATTTGGAGTCACCATGCATCCAGTTGGAGAGTTTGGCCCTCAATTTTTAGCTATGATAATTTGAATTTGATGATAATTTGATTCACGTCTCTTAAATTTTATTGCCACCAAATCTCCACGAGGACGGGGATCTTGTCTGCTTTGATCTGTTGTAACTCAGCACTTGTTCTGTTATATATCATATTATAATTATTTCTGTGTATGCCACACCTTGTCTCTACTACCTTTGAGAATCATGAGAGCAGGTATTATATCCTGGCCCCTCATGTGACGATAAGTCATAAATCTGCAGCCAAAGCTCAGATTGGTTTCCCAGGCTTCAGCTCACAGAATCCATCTCTCTGTTGGATAGCACTCTTGGCTCCCCACAGACAATTTAACGTGTACTTAATATTCAAAGTTGGACTCACCATCCCCCTAAATCCTCCAAGAGCTCACTCATTATACAAATGAATAAATGCAGGTTCCTCTAATACCCAGGATCTCCCTCGCTGAATCTCAGATGATTTACAAGAAGGCGTTACCTCACCCCTTCCACTGTGTTACCGTAGTGGCGGAGGGTAAAGGTTCCAGGCAGCATGGAGAGGCTAAAAGAATGTGGGTTGAGGGATCAGCTAGTCTGCGTTCAAGCTCCAACTCTATTCAACACTATGAAAAAGGAAAAACAGGAGCAAATAGAAAGGGGATTAGTACACAGGATGTTAAGATCTTTCTGCATAATGGTTTCATTCAATTTATAATAAATCCGTGAAGTGGGCATTGCTATACCATTTTAATAACTAGGAAATGGAGATTCAGAGAGGTAAAAGGCTTACTCAAGGTCACCCAGCTGTTAAGTAGCAGAGCAGAGATTAGAACCCAGATCTCTCTGACCTCAAAGCGGAGCTCTTTCCTTTATACCATCTTGCCTTATGCTCTGGCTGTGTGTTCTGGAGCAAACTGCTTCACCTCTCTGACCCTTCCTTTCCTTGTCTGTAACCAAGAAGATTACCACACCGACCTCCAAGGGCTTCCCTGAGAGTCCAATGATGACGCATATTTAAGGCAATACATAAATGCCAGTTATTACTGCACTCAGTATCCACAAACAGGTAGATCAGAAGGAATAAATTCTTTTGTTGGTCTGTTTAAAACAGAAGAGAGCTCTTACTACTCCTGAGAGAGTTACCACAGCTGGAGAAGCAACGATACAATTCGCGCAATAAAAGGGAGTGTGTGTGTGTGTGTGGAATCAAAAGGCAACACAAGTTTCTCTTCCACCCCAGCCTGTTTTTGTTTTTACTGAAATACAATTTCAGAACAGATTGCTTGTTCTTCATCTGAGGTACGAGCAGTCACAGCCCAACTGTGGAGAGCAGGAGCAGAGTAGTTAAATACTGCTCTGCGCCCTGGCCCTCCGCCAGCCACCCAACAGACGGACTCCGCACACTGCGCTCACGGGAGCACGGTCTCCCCCTAGACGTCCCCCTGGTGTTGCTTCTTGCATTTCACCGCGTGTCCCTGTTCCCTGCACAGGTGCCGGTTTCCATGAGAACATGTTGTCTGTCGGCTCTCTGTACTCTCACCTGTTGAGGTGGTCCATCGGGGCCTCTAGGTTAGCAGTTGGCATGGCATCCTGGTTGGCCCTGAATGGTCGCTATCGCCACAGCTCCAGCCCCTTAGCTTGGCTCAGTTTACCTGTTTGCTGAGATTTGCTTCTGGGTGAGTTTCCTCCACGATGAAACCAGAGGGTGTTAATATAGTGCTCAGAAACCTGGCCTCTTTTTGCGTTAGAGAGAAGAAAAGAGAGCAAATAATAAACAGTGAGAGAACAGAAAGGAAGAAGCCACAGTCACTGCCTTCAATGAGTCTACAGTTTACAAGGAGACAGAAATGTGAATGCACAGCAACAACAGAATCACCTCTAGAGTGCTCAGTACGTGCCAGGCACTGCTCTAAGTGTGTTAAATAATTTACCACATCTAAACCTCACAACAGTTCCAACAGGAAGGTACTATTATTGTCTCCCATTTGACAGATGAGGAAACTGAGACTAACTTGACCAAGATCGTGGCTAGTAAGTGGTAGAAGAAGGATGTTGGATTTCAAGGGTCTATGCTCTTAATCACTGAATTATAGCTTCTCTCAGATGACTATAATATAGTGCAGGCTTAATAGGAGGGGAGTTTCAAGGATTTATGTTCCTGTACAGAGACGATAATATGTGTAAAGGCTCTGGGGTGCCAAAGAGCCTGCACATACAGGGAACAAAAAACCACTCATTGCATTTGGAGCAGAACAAGGTATGGGGGAAGGAGAAGATGGAGAAATGTGGAAGACATGTCATTGGAAAGGTGGGTTCTGTTGGGCTGGAAAGAGCCCTGAATACCAAGTGAGAATCTTGGACTTTGACTTAGGAAATGGGGACTCACTGGAATTTAGGAGGGGGAGTGACATGAGCAGCTTAGATTTGAGAATAACCTCTCAGGCAGTAGTGAGGAGAATAGAGCTAAGAGGCAGACTAGAGGAGACAGGAAGGGGGAGAGAGTGTTATGAGAGGTTCGGGGGCTTTGATCGGGGATGTAAAAGAAACTTTCCACTCCAAACAAATGGACTGAAGGTATATTTTATTATATAGAGGAGAGTAAAGGCGATAGTCCACAAACAGATCTGAATAGGTCAAATATTAAGAGGGAAAAACATCAGATCGACTGGAAAGGGAAAACATCCACATCAACTGAAGGGAAATGACAGAAATCAACCGGAAAGAGAAACACCAGGTTGACCGAAAAGAGAACACATCAGGTGGGTTACTCACAACATCCACACCCCACTGCCGGGGAGAGTCCCCTCAATTGACACGGCTGGGCGGGAATCACACGTCCTGGGCAAGGCGTCCCTTCCACAGGTGGAACTCTCACCAGGCCTCGGTTTCCAGCAGTTTATA